CCGCTCGACTGGACTGGGAGGTGCTAGCAGAGGAATCATCTTCTTTAGGAGCACTCCGAGGCTTTAGGTTCAGTTTGGGTCTTTGGGGGGGACCTAAGTTAAATGAAACTCTAAGTAATAGTTTTCTAAAATCAGAAGCTGACAGCTGAAAGCTCAACTGATTTCCAGATATAGCTCTCAGGAAATGCTATATGGGATTCAGGTTAGCCCACCTGGCAGAGAAGGGTGATGGAGGTCCTTAGAAAATGGGTAGTTTACATAATCAAGTTCTGTTACTACTTCCTGCTGTCTTACCACATGCATGATATGGGACAAGACTGTCAGAATGACTAAAATGATAAACACTTATATGGTAAATTAATCATTTTATCACAATTACTTTTACTTGAGAAAAGAATTTCAACTATTATCAATTACTGAATAAAATTATCTTGCTCAAGAATCTGATCTCACCAGTGTGGTGGTGCATACCTGTAATCCCAGCACTTGGGAGGCTACGGCAAGATGATTACTATGAGTTTGAGATTTGTCTGGTCTACATAGTTGAGTTCATGGTTAGCATGAACTGAAATGCAGAGATATCCCATCTCAAAAAACAGCAACAACAAAAACAAGCCCAATTTGACAGGACAATCAAGTAAAAAGAATGCTACAAGCTAGGTTGTACAGAATGAATCTATTCATATTAAAGATCCATGACTAGCTATGAAGTCTTCCAAGCAACGACTGTTGAGCAGTCTTGAAATTAAAAGCCGAATATGGATGTAGAAGATGATGGTGAAGAAGTAAACAGCAGACAAACAGTGGAGACCCAGTATATGACAGACAAAGAAAGACCTTTCAGGACACGACGAGACTGGGAAAACCATCTCATTAGATGTTGTTGCAGAAAGACAAATGGGGCCAGTGAAAGAATGAAGCAGGGCTGGGAATACATTAAGAGACAACTGCTGAGCCTGGGAGACAGCTCAGTAGAATAAGCGCTTGCCAGGGCCTGAATTCAATCCCCAGTTCGGGGGAGGGGGGGAAGGAGGGAACTGCCACATGGCTCAAAGGCAGCAGCAGTGACTATGAAGGAACACATTATGAAATTTTTCAGATTAGAAAGCATTTGTATAAGCATTTAGCCCACTGTTGGTACAGAGTAGTAAACACACAGTAAACCAACTGCTTTTGTTGTTTTGACTGAAGAAATAGGTAAGAGCCATGTTTTTAATTAAAGGTATTAGAAAACCACAACAAACAAAACAACAAAAGAAAACCATAAACACTGAAATTTCTTTTTTTTTTTTTTTGGCGGAACCAGGGATTGAACTCAGGCCTTTGTGCTTGCCAGGCAAGCACTTATTCCACTGAGCCATCTCCCCAGCCCCTGAAATTTCTCTTTTGAGGAGGAAAATCTTTTTTTTTTTTTAATTAATTTATTTATTTATGGGGGGGGCAGCTCAGCCCACCAGGGGGTGGGGCTGGCTGGCATGTGGTGCTGAGGGATCGAACCGTGGTCGCTGTGCGTTGCTAAGCTTGTTCCAAGTAGGTGCTTTAGACCACTGAGCCATCTCTCCAGCCCGAGGAGGAAAATCTTTAATGCCGTAGAATGTCCATACCGGACTGATGGGTTTTATTACCACACTTCATTAATTACTTGCTCAAGTCTTATTTTCTTTTCTCAGGGAATTACAAGAGACAGTACTGTAGATACAAAGGTTCAAGACCAACACAAGTTGTTAAATATTTCAAGACAGAAAGATTCCTGGGTCAAAGATTCATGAAATCCTCCAGTTTCAGCCTCCCCAGCTCTGGGATTATAGGTTTGCACTATCATACCCAGTTCTGGTGGCTGGCTTGGCACACCCAGCACAGTATGCGGCACAAGGGATTGAACCTGGGTCCCTGGACTTGCCAGGCAGGTGCTTAGACTGCTGAGCTATCTCTCCAGACCAATCATGTAGTGATTTTTTTTTTTTGAGGTGCTGGGGATTGAACTCAGGACCTTGCACTTGACAGGCAAGTGCTTATCCTACTGAGCTATCTCCCTGGCCCTCATGTAGTGATTGATTGGTCAGCCTGGACTACACAGTGAATTCAAGGATAACCTGGACTATATAGTGAGACCCTGTCTCAACAGTCTTTGCTTTATTTCCATTATGTTATCCTTGGCCAATATCATGACATGTTTTGCTGAACACATGGTGTTAACTGTGTTTTAAGTCCCTCAAGTGAACACAAATATCACTTATAACTCCTCCTAAATCTTTCCAGCATCTACTCCACCATGTAAGCCACAGACAAGGATTACCTCTGTCATCACGCCTGTAATCATCCCGGGCATAATCATCTCTAGAGCCCCAGGGTCGATCATCTCGTCTGTCATAGCGATCTTCGTATGGGTCTCCTCCTCCTCTGTAATCGTCATCTCTACGGTAACCACTACCAAAGGCTCTTCTGCCACTGCCTATTCTGGAATCATACCCTGTAAATATATACTGAATTGAAATTATCACACAAGCTGGGCATCATGGTGCACACCTGTAATCTCAGCACTTGGGAGCCTGAGGCAGGATAATGGATGAGTTTGAGGCAGCCTGGGCTACAATGTGAGTTGAAGGCCAGCCTGCACTCCATAGTGAAACCTTGTCTAAACAAAAAAACCTCAAAAGAAGGAAAACAAACACACAGGGTTCTTAAGAAAGCATTTTAACTGAACTTATGTGTTACAAATTACCTCTATCATAGTCTCTGCTGCCTCGGTCATCATAGCGATCTCGGCCTCCGTATCGATCCATATCCCGGCGTGGGCCATCACGATACCCATCCCGATCCCGATAGCCATCACGGTACCGGTCTGAATCATAGCGATCTCGATACTCTAGACAAAAAAGACAGATAACCTCATCCCTTTTTCTTTCACATGTTAACAAAGAGCACAGTGACACTGAATCAATTTTACCTTATGAGCTGTTATTCAAGTTTGTCCCAATTTTCATAAGGACAATTTCAAGTTCGAGGCCGGCCTGAACTACATCATAGCAGAGACTATGATGTACTTCATGGTGTATCATGAGGTCCTGTCTAAAAAAACTTCCCTGGTGAAACCAGGTGTGGGATCACCTGCCTATACAGCACTCTGGGAGGCAAAGCCAGGATGATCATAAGCCCTGCTTAGGCAGCTTAGTAAGATGCTGTCTCAAAATGCTCCCGGATTTGATCCCCAATTAGAGATAAAAGCTAACCTTAGAAAACAAACACACCAGAAATCTGAAAGGCAAACAAAATGGGGGAGGGGGGATGTAACATTTTGACTACTGCATTGTTATTATTATTTTTTTTTGTGGCCAGCTCAACTCACCCTGGGGGTGGGGCTAGCACGGCATGTGGTGCCAGGGATTGAACTGTGGTCCTTGCACACTTGCCTAAGCAGGCGCTTTAGACTGCTGAGTTATCTCACCGGCCCTTAACTAATGTATTTTACATACACAAAAACATGCATGTTTATCAATACCAGAGACCCCCTAAAGGTCAGCAGTCTGTATAAAGAAATGTGGTAGCTCTGGAGGGACAATGGACATTCAGTCATTTATAAAAGGGACAGTTTGCTATTTATTTAGCTTCAAATGACTGTTGCCAACAATTTTCCCATACTTTTTTTTTTTTGGGGGGGGGATCAGGAATTGAACCCAGGGCTTCATACTTTCCAGATAGTTGTGCTACTGAGTTACATACATCCCTATATCTTCCAATTTCCTAAGTTGGAAATCCACATATTTACATGACAAATAGCAATTTCTTTCTTCTTTTTAAAAATGCATTTGGTACAGGGTCTCACTATGCAGCTCCAACTTGTAGTGATCCTCCTGTTTTCAGCCTCCCTGGTGCTGGTATTACAGGTGTGCACCACCATGCCTGGTCTCGGCGCTTGCCTAATCAGCACTTAGTCCACTGAGCTATCTCGCTGGCCCAGCAATTTCTAAAAAAAAAACCAATTAATCACAAATTTAAACACCTGAGGGCTATTTCTGCCTATCAAACAGGGATCTTATTTTTATGACTATTGCCTTTTATCTTTCTTTTTTTTTTCTTTTTTTTTTTTGAGATAGGGTCTCCTATGCAGTTCAGGTTGGTATTAAGCTCACTTTGTAGCCCAGGCTGGTTTCAAACTCACAAGAATCCTACTGCTTCAGCATCCTGAGTGTGCTGGGATTACAGGCTTGGGCTACCTCGCCTGGCTTTATCTTTTGTTTGTCTGAGACAGGGTCACATAGCTCAGGCTAGCCTTGAATGCTTGGTGATCGATTCTCTTGCCTCAGTCTCTCAGTACTGGAATTGAATCACTATGTTGGGCTGATTATTGCCTTTCAAACAATGACTTTAGGGGCTGCGATGGGTATGGCTCAGTGCTAGAGGTATTGCCTAGCATGTTTAGAAAATCATATAATTTTTTCTATATGACTAAATTTTGTAAGTTAAGGGAATGTTAGTGAAATAATTATATATAAGAGTTTAAAACAGGGATTACATGTCTGTAATCTCATCACTTGGGAAGCTGAGGCAGGAGGATCACTGGGAATTCAAGGCCAGCCTGTACTACTCAATGAAACCTTATTATTGCCTGACAAGTGCAGGGTCCCGAGTTCAATCCCTGGTACCGCAAAAAAGAAGCCAAGTGTATAAACTGCCCATGCTTGGCTTGGATTTGTGGTCCTCCTGACTCAGCCTTCCAGTGCTGAGATGACTGTTTATGACACCACATCTGCCAGCTGTCAATATTCAATGTATCTGCCGGGGACAAATTTTTATTATTCTTAGAAGCTACCTGCTGGTGGCACTCAGTGCATGAGCTGGCTTAGAAATTTTGTTCTTTGTAACTATGCATGTAGGTGCTATGCCAGGGACAGATGAAAGCCAGGGACTCCTGCATGCTATGCAAGTACTTTGCGGCCAACTCCATGCCTGCGCCTTTTCTGCTCATGAATTATGTTAGGATAATAACTTCTCCGGATTACATTTCATTTACTTTCGGTTACTCTTTTGCATGTGATGCTGTGTTTTAAACCCAGGGGCTGGATCTTATTAGGCAAATGCTTTATATTGAGTCACACCCTAAGGCCTGTGTTCTTTGAATCTCAATGTTTTCAGGACAGTAACAGCAGTAATAAAGACAGCATACTTGTCTTCTTTGTAGTGTTAACTGAAAACAGATCTGGAGCTCCCCAATAGTTTTCTAAGGTATTACTTTTGGATTTAGGCATCTGAATTACAAATACAAAGACTTCGCTGTTACACTGTTTTCCCCATGTTGTTAAGGTTACACTTTTTTTTGCTGATACAGGAATCAAACTCAGCACCTCACACTTGGCAGGCAGGTGCTGCACCACTGAGCTAAGTCCCTGGCCCCTATACTATTTTTTTCCCACATTAGGTCTCACTGTGTTATCTAGACTAGGCCTAGGGCTGGGGAGATAGCTCAATGGAGTAAGTGCTTGCCTGGCAAGTGCAGGGGCCTGAGTTCAATTCCCGGTTCTACAAAAAAAAAAAAAAAAAAAAAAGGAAAAAAAGAGGTGAGGAGCCCAGCTCATCTGCTGGCCCACTCTGCACTAGACTAGGCCTGGACTCCTTGCCTGGGTATTCTTCCCAGTGGCTAGGACTACTAGTGTGTGCCACCATGCCTGGATGCAGGTTGTTGCTTTTTTTTATATACTAATACTCTGTATATGTTTGAAATATGTACGCCAGAATGAATGCAATACAGGTGTGATTTTTCTTCCTTTTCTTGTCCTAGGAATTAAACCCAGGGCCTTCACAACTACTTAAAAGATAAATGAGAGGGCAGCTGTGCTCAACATGATGTGAAAGTCACACATGTTCTTGTATTAAGGTATCACAAGGTTGCCCAGTGAGATGTAGTTTTTCTGTTCTGTATGGCAGTTAAAAAATAAATCTAGGGCCGGGGAGATGGCTCAGTAGAATAAGCGCTTCCCTGGCAAGTGCAAGGGCCTGAGTTCAATCCCTGGTTCCACCCAAAATAAATAAATAAAGAAAGAAATAAAAATAAATAAATCTAGGTGTGTAGGGGGGAGAGGCCAAAAATAGGTACAAATATCTAATAGGAAGCTGAGGGAGGATCCATGCAAAGTTAAGTCCAGCCAGGTCTACACAGTGAGACCCTGTCTCAAAACACACATACACACAGGAAAACAAAAACAAACACCCTCCAAATCAGCCATGTGTTATTTTGAAATGTTTTTAACTTCTTAAGAGAGGCAGGTAAGCTCAATACCTGATTTAGATGAAATGAAATTATAGGCTTAATCTCCTTGAGAAAAACAGATCCAAAGTTAAGTACATTAGCATGCTGTTGAGATTTTATGATAACGTTTAGCATTATTTTCCTTCCTCCCATTTGTCTTTTTTCCTGCCTAATGCTTGCAGGTAGGAGCTTCTGATCTCTGGGACAGTCTGGTGTAACTCTCATTAACTAAAAGTGGACTCGAGCCAGCTTTGGATAACAACAGCACACTCACTTTCTTGTTATCCATCCTGCTTGCTCTAAATTCAAGATGTCAGATGAGAAAATAGTCATGTCCCTTGACTCAAAACAGGACCCTTGGTCTCACTGCTTTTTCTTTCAAGAGCCATTTCTTCCTGTTAACAACAGAATTTCTTGCATAAATGCTGAAGTATACTTCTCCCCAAGGCTTTGTTAAACACAAAGACTCGATTATAAAATCATACACAAACTTGTAGATTTATTTTTTTATTTTTGGCAGAACTGGGGACTGAACTTAGGCCCTTGCACTTGCCAGGCAAGCACTTATTCTACTGAGCTATTTCTCCGGCCCCTCACAGCTTTAGTGTTTCTACTGACCTGTCACACCACTTCTGCATTCTACGTTCCATTTTGTCTTTTTTTTGGCGGAACCGGGGATTGAACTCAGGCCCTTGCAAGCAAGCGCTTATTCTACTGAGCTATCTCCCTGGCACCCATATGTTCCACTTTTTAAAAAAAATTTCTGTAGTTCAGGCTGGCTTTGAACTCATTCCTGTCTAGCCGCCTGAGTGCTAAGTGCTAAGATCACAGGCATGTATCACCATACCTGGCTCTTCTGCATTTTACTAAGGAAGACTGTTCTCTAACAGGAAGGAAGTTATCTCATACTATACACATAATGGGATCCCTTATGCCCATCTACAACCATGACCAACCATGGGTATGTTACTTTATATTTTTACAACTTATGCATTCATACTATACAATATCTTTTTTTTTTTTTTTTGGCAGAACCAGGGATTGAACTCAGGCCCTTGTGCTTGCCAGGGAAGCACTTATTCCAGTGAGCCATCTCCCCGGCCCCTACAATATCATTTTCAAAGTTTCACACATACTTATATTTCTCCCATAATAAGTTTTGAATTTTATCCTTGACAACATATATGCAATTACATTTTGTTATTTAAAAAAACTATTCATTATTTTTCATATCTTTACAAAGTGCTGTCTTTCTACAGGCATTTTAGAAGAATGCATAAATTTTACCCTGTGCTTTACATACCTCTTGCCAGATCTAGGTGATGTAAAACATATAGTTCATCCCCACTATATCCCCATGACCTTCTCAATCCCCTTTTATTTTCCCAACTAAATTTTCCTCCACTATAATCAATATCCTGTGAAGACAGACTTTTTTGGACAATGTTTCAGCCTCGAAGAGTGTCTGGCACATAGCAAGACTTAAAAATGTTTTATTCTTTATTTGCAAAAGACCTTTTTAAAAATAATGAATTTTATAAAAACGTTTTCTAGCACCCATCAATTCTTTTGAATGTTAAAAAAGTTTTAAGTTGGCTGTGTTTGCATGTGCCTATAGTTTCAACTACTAGGGAGGCTGAGGCAGCACTGCTTGAGCGGAGAACTTCAGGGCCAGCCCAGGCAATATGGGAGACGCTGCATCTGTATCTGTCTCTGTACCATACTATACTTTCTTTTTTTAAAAAAATTTGTAATTATCTTACATTAAAACCTTCTTTATTAATTATTTATTTATTTATTTATTTATTTATTTATTTATTTATTTTTTGCAGAACCGGGGAGATCGTTGCGTTTGCCAGTCAAGCGCTTATCCTACTAAGCCATCTCCCCAGCCCCCATACTACACTTTCTGCTAATGTGATCACCCACAATGACACCTTTGTCTTATTAAATAGGCTTACAAAAGGAACTGACTTCATAAATATTAACTTACTGTCTCCAAAGCTATCATCACCTCTTCTCGGCGGATAGTCATCAAAGCTGTCTGTGGCAGGACGGGCCCTCCAGTCTGTGTCTGTTTTGTCAGAATCTCGATTTCTATCTCGCCCAAAAGAACGATCATCCCTGTCTATAAAGTAAAAACAAACACAGATGCCCTCAAGATGAAAAAGGCTTCCTTTGTCCACTGCCTGCATGCCTCAATTGCTCCTCTCTCATACTCATGCATGGAGTCAATCCTCACATTAATTTATTTTCTACATCATACTGTTATCATGAAGGTACCTGGTCCCTCACTTGCACTCTTCAAGTGAATTGGATTATGCTTTTCTTTACATTAATTTATATTGCATTGGCACTTATCCATGTAGGCCAAGGAGGTGCTGAAATACATCAATGAAGTCCCCTTTCTCTCCAATACAAGCCAGGGAGCTAAGATATTTATTACAGATTTAATATCCATTTAGATCAGTTAGGACATTTCATCTCAAAGAATAATCTATGGGTTCTATCTATTATCTAATAGGACTTCAGTAGCACTCACTTCAAATGTTAACAAACTGCTAAAATCATGTAGAAGCAAAACTAGTTGAGAAGTTACTCTGGACTTGGGCTGCTTTACCATTTATCTCTATTAAAATTTTCTGGGCAAGGACACTTTTGCTTTGTCATCCTAGGATAATTACCAAACAGGAAATTTTTCCCAGTTTTCTCACCTTTATCCTGAGCTTGATCAGCAACATCCACTCGAATTCTTCTGTTACCTAGAGACTAAGAGAACACAGGACTGTATTAATCAACTTTCTGCCTCATTATGCACAAATCCCATGAGTGACCATAGCAGTAGCGAAGCACTGCAGGAAGGCAGGTAAAAGGAAGACACTGTACTCTAGCCAGCACTCTTCAATTTGTTGGCTAAAGACTCCTTTAGAAACACTTAAAGTTCCACCCCCCCATAAGATGGTGCCCTCTCTGCATGGTTAGCCAACATTTTGGCCCTAGCCTTTCTTTTCTTTTTTTTGTGGAACTAACGACTGAACTCAGGCCCTTATGCTTGCCAGGCAAGTGCTTATTCTTTTTTTTTTTTTTTTAAATTTAATTTATGTGTGTGTGTGTGGCCAGCTCAGCCCACCAGGGGGCGGGGCTGGCTGGCATGTGGTGCTGGGGGATTGAACCATGGTCCCTGTGCTTTGCTAAGCTTGTTCCAAGTAGGTGCTCTAGACCACTGAGCCATCTCACCAGCCCCAGCCCTAGCCTTTCAA